CCCAGACAAGCCCGAGCGTCAAACGCGTTACCAGAGAACCGAATGTTTTCCATGGCAACCCTTCCGAGTTCAAAGAATGGGTATTTACGGTCGAGTTAGCCTTGAAGTGCTCACCTCAAGGTGACCCGGAGAGCCAAGTTAACTTTGCGGCTAGCTACCTCGCTGGGAATGCGCGTCTTTGGCTAATTTCTTCCCTGGAAGCAGGTGAGCAATTTTCGGATTGGCATTCTTTGAAAAGCGCCCTAGCGCGAGTGTATGGCCCGCACTATGATGGGGAAAGAGTGCGGTTGGATATGTTCTCTATCCAACAGCGTGGGTCAATTGAATCGTACGTAACGGAGTTTTCTCGGCTAAGTTTACAGGTGCCGGAACTTGACGAACTCTCCAGAGCCTTGCTATTTGTCAACGGCCTGCACGGTAACATGCGGACCTTGGTAGTGAAGGAACACCCCACTACACTGTCAGCCGCCGTTCAGTCAGCGCTAGCAGTCGCCTCAGACAGCCGATTTCAGCGCAGACCACCACTGGCGACCGCGCCGGGATTCGCACCACCATCAGGTAGCAAAAAGCTAACAAAACTAAGCCCCGAGGAACGTGAGACATTACGAGCCCAGGGGGGCTGCTTCGCATGTCGTCGACCAGGCCATATGGCCCAGAATTGCCCGCAGCATCGAGATCACCCAAACGGTGGACGTCAGTAAGGCCGATGCGATTACTGACGCAGCAAGAAAAGGCATCACCTGCGTGTAGTGTGTGCTCCGTCTCTACCCGTAACCGATTCAGTAGCCTCGCTGTGGAGGATGTTGACGATGATGCTGAATGCTCCGAAGCCAATTTCAAGCGAGATGTTACACCAACTATTGAGGCCCAGGTTACCAGCGTCAATGTGGAAACGGAACATGAGCTCCTGCGTGTAGAAGGCAAAATCAACGGTCGTCGCGCGCTTATGTTAATAGATTCGGGCTCGACCCATGATTTCATTGCCGAACAGTTTGCCAGGAGAGTTAACCTGCCAACCGAAATTGGCTCGGAAAACCTGAATGTCACGCTGGCTGATGGAGCATCAAGCTCGTTTCCCATGGAGACGACCCATGAATTGAAGGTTATCGTAGGCGACTTCAGCGATAACCAAACCTTCACGGTGTTCCCCCTTCATCGCTATGACGCTATATTGGGGAAACCTTGGTTAACGCGTAACAATCCAGACATAAACTTCCGGACGAATGAAGTCAGGTTGAACTCGAATGGTTTGCCTTGTGCGTCGCCCAGTCAAAGCGAACCGACCGCTCCTGTGGAGGCGATGTTCATATCTGGTCGTCAGGCTAGGCATGCCCTTAGGAGTGGAGACGAAGGTGTTCTGGCGTGGGTCAGCGTAGAAGACGGCATTGGCAAGGAACCTCCCGACAAATCCACTCAGAACGAGCACCCAGATCTCAAGGCCATGTTCCGTGACTATGACGATCTTTTCCCGGATGATCTGCCAGCTAGACTCCCACCAGAGAGGTCTGTAGACCACAAAATCCGCCTGGAGGAAGGCTCATCACCCCCATCGCGACCTGCCTATCGCCTGCCCAGGCCAGAAATGGAGGAATTGAAGAAACAGCTCACAGAACTCTTGAAAAAGGGTTTCGTAGAACCAAGTAAGTCCCCCTTTGGTGCACCGGTGTTTTTTGTCAAGAAAGCTGATGGTTCGTTACGCATGGTCTGCGATTGGAGGGAGCTAAACAAGATAACTGTTAAGAACAAGGCGTGCTTGCCCAATGTGGATGATTTATTCGATACCGTACAGGGCGCTAGGTACTTCACGAAACTAGACCTCCGATCAGGGTATAATCAGATTCGCATTCAAGCTGAGGACGTGCCCAAAACCGCGATTAACACTCCCTTTGGGCATTACCAATTTAGGGTCATGGGATTTGGTCTCACCAATGCACCGGCAACATTTCAATCCATGATGAATACGATTCTTCAACCATATCTGAGGGAGTTCGTAGTCGTGTTCCTAGATGACATACTCATCTTCAGCAAAACGTGGTCGGAGCATATGCAGCATGTCCGGTCGGTATTGAGCGTGCTCCGGGACAACCAGTTATTTTGCAAACGGTCAAAATGTGAATTTGGCGTGGAGAGTGTGCGGTTCCTGGGACATTGCATCGATGGACTGCACATCGCCCCTGACCCAGACAAGATTGCCGCAGTAAAGGTCTGGCCCGCTCCGACTTCCGTCACAGAGGTGAGGCAATTTCTTGGATTTACGAATTATTTTAGGCGATTCATAGATCAATACTCATCGCTCTCTAAGAACTTAGAGGAGATAACGGGAAAACATGCACGATTCGAGTGGAACAGCTCTCGGCAACATGCCTTTGAATCGCTAAAGCATGCCTTGTTGAATGCGCCCCTATTGCGGCTGGCTGATGTGAACCGACCATTCAGAGTGGTAACAGATGCAAGCGATTTCGCCTTGGGATGTGTTCTTCTCCAAGAACTAGAGGAAGATGCCTGGCATCCAGTGGCTTATGCTAGCCGAAAATTGTCTGCTGCGGAACAGAATTATACAGCTACAGAAAGAGAAACATTGGCCGTAGTGTTTGCGCTAAAGACCTGGCGCATCTACCTCTTTCAACACTTTGAGGTCATTACAGACAACATGGCGGTAGTTTATCTGAAAACAAAACCAAGCATTACAAAGAGAGAGGCGCGATGGGTTGAATTCCTAGCTGACTATAACTACACAGTCCGTCACAGACCCGGCAGAGAGAACCCTGCAGATCCCCTTTCGCGTCGCCCAGATCTCCATGAGAGTAACCTCGTGGAGAATGCAGTACCACGTTTGAATGCTATTGAGTATGCTTTAGCAATGAATGATGACGTGTCCAATACAATATCAGATGCCTACCAGAGAGACAAAGAGCTAACTCCCATCATAGAAAGATTGAAGCATTCTCTCCGAGATAATTTGCATGATCGCTATTATTGGGACGAATCCACTGATCGCTTGTACCTCAAGGCATCCCCCAATAACCGGTTGTGCATACCACAGTGCGGTGTCCGGTTAAAGCTCATTCAAGAACACCATGAGTGTGCAACGGCTGGCCACCCGGGTCGTGATCGAACATACTTCCGCCTAGCACGTTTTTTCTACTGGCCCCGAATGGGTCTCGATATCAAGAGATTTGTCAAAACCTGTGATCTCTGCCAGCGAACGAAGGGAGGTCAGCCACGAACAGGGCTTCTCCAGTCACTTCCAATACCTAATAGTCCTTGGCAGGATATCTCAATGGATTTTATTGTTGGATTGCCCCTTACTTCTCGTGGCTTCGACGCAATTTACACCTTTGTGGACCGACTTACGAAATGCGTACATCTTGTTCCAACAAACTCGAAGATTGATGCTAAGGGCAGCGCTCAACTGTACATTCAAAACGTGTTTCGTCTGCACGGGCTGAGCTCAACCATTGTTTCCGATCGCGATCCACGATTCACTGCAGCTTTTTTCAAAGAAGTATTCTCTCAGCTAGGAACTAAATTGGCATTCAGCACTGCTAACCACCCTCAAACGGATGGTTTGACAGAGAGAGTTAACCGGCAAGTGGGAGATGTTCTAAGAGCATTTGTGAACTTGAGACAGGACAATTGGGATTCGCTTCTACCACTCTGCGAGTTTGCAATAAATAGTTCACAACAGTCATCTGTAGCTAATACACCGTTCTATCTGAACTATGGGTTTGACCCTAAGTCCCCGCCCGAATTCATTCTTACGGGAGGGGAAAGGAGTGATTCGGTCGATTGGCTTCATGAGCAGGAAGCCGCACTAAGGATAGCTCGAGATGCTATGCTCGACGCCCAGGCAAGGCAAGCTCTATACGCAGACCAGACGAGAACGCCCAGTGATTTGAAGGTTGGTGATAGCGTTCTTGTCTACAGAGACTTTCTACTGACCCCGGAAGCTCGTGGCCAGCCCTCTCGGAAGTTGCAACCCAAGTGGTTTGGTCCGTATCGTATCCAGGCTAAGATTGGAGCGAATGCTTTTCGCTTGGAACTACCCCGTGAACTTCGCTGCCATCCCGTGTTTAATGTCACTGCTCTTAAACGCTACGAAGAGAACACGATTCCTGGAAGACACCAACCCCCGCCTCCGCCCTTCACAGATCTAGATGGACACACACGCTATGTTGTCGAAGCCGTTTTGAATCACCGACACCGCAGTGGTGAGCAACACTTCCTGGTGCATTGGAAGGGTTACCCCAGCAGCGAAGCTACGTGGGAGCCCGCTGGCAACCTATGTGATGAGTCTGGTCGGAATATTAAACCGCTGCAGAACTATCTAGCCTCACAACGACAGCAGCCTTGATCTAACTGGGCTGAGCCATATGCATCTCTTACTGAGATAGTTAATAATTATGTTATAGACTGATATAGTTTTGCGTCATCTCCTTGTGAGAGTGATGAAGTTGAGTTGGATTACACTTCAATGTGGTTATGCATGTGCATGAGTGATTATTTAATATTCCCCTTTCCACAATTGCATCTCCTAACTGGATTGTGTTATCTAATAGAACCTTGGGCTTCCTATGGGGCCGGGAGAGTGTAATAGTTTTACCTTGACACTTCTTGCTTGTCTTATGGTAACACCTTGTGTTCCTACTATTCTCACTCCTGCGGTTCTCACCTTTCTTTTGCTTTATAACCTCTGGTTTGAACATCATTCGACGAATTCTCCAATCAATCAAGTCTATACTGTTACAGCGCGTGCACAGCATGCCCCGTCTCGACCCCTCTCACTCATTGTGCAAAGGGTCTATTGCACATTATTTTCTTGCTGTTTTGAAATTGGCTGACTTTTAACAAAACATCAAAGCTATTATTGTACGGTAGCAGTATTAAAGGCACATTACTCATACGTAGATCTACTTCTCGCTGAATAGTTCGTTCAGTTGCCAGCCGGGGAAACTGCCGGGTTTCGCACAATGTGAATGCACAAGGTGGCAGTTACTTACAGAGTCTTCAAACCTTCGACATTGTGAAACACGTCTTTGTGTAACTCTCTGATTTTATTATTGTCCAAGTATCTGCAGGTTGTAAAATAGCAGAAACCAGAAACACCAGGTGATGAAATAGAATATTTAAAAGGCAGAGAAATTAACAATAATTATTTAAAAGGGGTTTAGGGATCAGAGTGTTCACCCAGCACAAAAATGCACACCATTGACACACACATGCGTGCACACATATACACACACACACACATCTCGTCCTGGTCCTGCTAAACACTGCCATTACGGTCACGTGTCCCCTTACGAGGCCGACAATATGGAACGACGAGCGACGGCAGTCCGCTGAGAGAGAGGTACTAGGTCAGGGACTCATGGATCATGTTCGAGAGAGCCATCTCTGGCAGCAATCTGGCTTATCATGGGAAACGATTCCTCTCACGGCTGCCACTTGAACTGGTCCATCGCTCTCCACAACAGTCAACAGAGCGAACATTCCATGAGCCAATGCTCAGAGTCGTTTCAAGTCCTCGTCTTCATGCGGTAGTTTTCTCCATTCGCGGGCTTGCAAGGCCTTGCGAAGGACTCCGAGGTGGGGGCGACGAGGAGAGTGTCGGCATCGTAACTATCCGACCAAGTCTCCTGTCGATGAATCCCCACCTCAGGCACTGTTGGCCTGGAGGGCTGGGGACACCCCAGGCCGTCCACAACAGCGAGAACAAGCACGGACGGATGCCTGAAACAAGAGCCCGAAAAAGTACAATCGTCCTCCACCAGAGCAGAGAACACACACACACACACACACACAGACTTGTTGCTCACTGCCAAAACTGGTCACGTGGGTCTCCCCGGGAGAGGGGAGAGGGACTCAAAAGGAATCTTGCAAAGATGACTCAACTGGCTATTGAATCGCCCAACGGCCGACACCCCTGAAATCCCAAAAACTCTGGGTGGACTTGAAAATGATCCCACTTATAGGCTCACCACACCTCAGTAAGTGGGTGAGGACAAGGCGCAGAAAAAGGATTGATGGCATCAGGGTATCCGTCCTGGGATCCAACTGCAGTTACCCCTGCCCCCCCCCCCCCCAGAGAAGGTAATACTTGCTACACACACACACACACACATACACACACACACACGCACACACACACGCACACACACACGCACACACACCGCACACACACACACACACACACATGCTCTCACACGCAATAGCACACACGCGTGCGTACACACATACATTCACGCATGTACGTACCCACCCACATGCATGTGCAAACTCATGTGCATGAGTGGAGATGCCCGCATACACATGTCACACCAACATGCCCCTGGAGCGGTCATGCACGTGTGTATAGTATGTGTGCGAGGGCACGTCCACATGAGTGAATATGCATGTGCATGCTCATACATGCGTATGGTGCACACATGCACAAACATGCAGGTCTATGCAAACACACACTTGCGCGCGCGCCCCGCATACAGTGTGCTCATACATTTCCATAGCCATAGGCAGGCAATGACTCGCAAATATCATGATTGAATCTTATGAGATTGAAAACACACACTTACCCAAGGCCAAAGCAGCTTTGGTGTTGCTTGTGAAAGCACGGGGGCCAGGGTGCTGAGCAGTTACAGGGCTATCTGTATCTATAAAATTCTCCATCCCACACCAAAGCAACTTGCTTGTGGTACCACCTGCTAGCAACTTGCTTGTGGTACCACCTGCTAGCACTGCTCATTCTGCTAAGCGCCTAACGCACGCTGGAGCCATTATGTGGAATAGATTGCCACCAGCAACAAAATGTTCAAATAGGTATTTGGATTTTAAATCTCAAGCCTTGCAGTATATATTATCAGCGACATAGGTTTTCCAATGCTCACTGGATTGATATCTGTTCGTTGCGACCAACCTTCCGTTTTTTTCTTTCCTTTCTCTTTTTCTCTTATATCTACTTTTCCACAATATCCTTTAACATGTTATTCACAGTGGGTCCAATGTTATTAGGCATTTTGCCTGTTTTGATTTCCACTATAAATAAAGTATACAACAACAACAACAACAACAACAACAACAACAACAACAACAACAACAACAACAACAACAACAACAACAACAACAACAACAACAACAACAACAACAACAACAACAACAACAACAACAACAACAACAACAACAACAACAACAACAACGTGAGAATAAAGATTTGAAACAACTTCCACCGTTTGGCGCATCCGATCACACTACTATCAGTGGCCACATCAATAATCAACTGCCCCCCATAATTAACAACTCCCCTCCACGATCCAGAAGCACCACATTCTGGTCATGGACAGACAGCACTATCCACCTTCTTCGAGAAGCCCTTTCACGCACAAATCTCAACCACCATCCAAACCAACACGACCCATGCCCAGTTGACACCTTCTGGCGATCCTGGCGTGACAATGTCATGAGCATCGCCCAAGAACACTGCCAAGTTACTCGCACTCACCCCCCTTGGGACAGGAAGGATGTGCCAGCACGACCATGGATATCAAAGGGCCTCTTGAAAGAGATCAAGGATAAGCACAGAAAACACAGAATATACCTTCACTCACGCTCGCCTGACGACTGGAACACGTTCACTGCCCAAAGAAACCGTGTCACCACCCTCCTGCGTCGTGCTAAATCGGATTTCGTAAACAACTCAACAGCCTCCTCTACTTCCCTACACCGCCTCATGAAGCACCTAACTACAGCTACAAAACAACGCATACCCGAACTCGTCAGCCAAGCAACTCCTGCAACGACACCAGCACAAAAAGCCGCTGCCCTCAACGAATTCTTCATTTCACAGAGCAAGCTGTCCGTGGCCAATGCGGATGAGCAAACTCCAGCCATCAACACCACCCCTGACATCCTCAGTCCCCTTCAAGAAATCTCGACTTCCCAAGCTGAGGTCGAAAAACTCCTCCGAGGAGTTGATACCAACAAAAGCCCCGGGTTTGACTCTATTCCAAACCGCCTCCTCAAAGAAGCGGCTAAGGAACTTGCACCGTCGTTATCGTCCCTCTTTAACCTATCGTTCCAAACCGGAGAAATCCCACAGGAGTGGAAAGATGCCACCATTACTCCAGTACCCAAGCCGGGTGACCCAACCCAACCAACAAATTATAGACCCATCTCTCTCTTGAGCACTACATCAAAAATCCAAGAAAAAATTGCACATCAACTCCTCTACAAGCACATCACACCCCACCTGCCCAACCAGCAGTCCGGATTCCGCGAGAAAGACGGCACTGAGCAGCAGCTCGCCCGTCTCGTCCATACCCTCTCCACTGCGAGAGACGACGGGAAACACGTCAATGCCTGCTTTTTCGATCTAAGCAAGGCCTTCGATCGTGTGTGGCATGCAGGCCTTCTAGCAAAACTCTCCCACTATGGTGTCCAGGGCAACGCCCTGGAGTGGTTCCGACGGTACCTGTTGGGGCGTCGGCAAAGGGTCCAGGTGGATGGCGACCTATCGCCTTTCCTCGAGATCCCTGCCGGCGTCCCTCAGGGATCTGTTCTTGGGCCGCTTCTATTCCTCGTCTACACCATAGACCTTCCACATGCATGTGAGAATCCCGGCACCACCTGTAGCCAGTTTGCAGATGACACCGCTCTGATTTCCATAGCGAGAACTCTTCAAGACTGCACCCGAAACCTACAACAGAGTGTCACAGCAGCTGGAGACTGGCTTCAAAGATGGCACCTGCTGGTTAACACAAAGAAAACAGTCATCCTCCCGTTCTACCACAATAACCGCCCCCCTGAACAGCTACCCCAGATCACCCTCAGGAATAGTCCGCTTACCGTAGCACAAAAACACAAACACCTCGGAATAATCTTTCAGCATGACCTCCGTTGGACGGAGCATGTTGAATACATAGTCAAAAAATCACTCAAGTCTTTCAATATTCTTTTTAGACTAAGGTCTACACTCACCAGTGATTCTTTATCTCACATCTATCAGACATACATACTACCTATATTCTCATATGCGAGCACTGCTCTCACACCGTTGTCCCACACTTCCCTTGACAGGTTAGAACGACTCCAGCGGAAAGCCGCCAGAATATGTCTCCACCTTCCCCTTTACACACACTTAGAACACTCCCACCTTTTGCATCGCATCAAATGGCCAACATTATTTTCACGTTTTAAAGTTAAACATATACTCTTCGCGCATTCTCTGCGCCACAATTATGCCCCACCACATATACTCTCGCTGCATACTGCTAGCAACGTGCAACCTTCGTATAATTTACGTCGCTCTCGTACTTGGCACTTGCCAACTCCGCGGACTGACCGCTGTCTCCATTCTCCCCTGTACAAGGCCCTTCATTACTTTAATTGCCTGCCCACCCAGCTTCGCGAAATCCCTTCTCGTACTCCCTTCAAATCCGAGATATCCCTGCTGTTGCACAACTCTGTATGCTCGTGTAGCGACCACCCCTGCCCGTACACTTAAGTACGCAACTCTGTATGCTCGTGTGGCGACCACCCCTGCCCGTACACTTAAGTAGTCATTAACCCCTAGGCCCTGTGTTTAGAAGAGTATCTCTTTGTTGTTGTTACTATAATCGAGTGGCACATTCGCACTACAATTCTACGAGTGCTAGTTTGAAATTACGTTACGAATTGTTACGTTGTACAGCAGGTACGAAACAATTAATATTTACATACTCACCGGTTTTCGTTTCGGAGTCCCGCGCTGTGACTCAGCTAATTTCTATTTCGTTTGCCTTGTATTGTCTGACTAGGGGCGCTGTCACCCCGTCAGGTGCAAGCACCCTTGGACAGAAGCACTTCACTTCACGACAAGTGTTCATTTTCGTTTTCCTCTTCTGCTTCTGTTGCACAGTTTGAACTTTGAATGTGTGCTTTTTTCGTACTCTGCTCTCGATCGAACCATGCGCGGGTCGATCTCCATAATTTTATCTTCCGTTGCCATGACTGGCATTAGTACGCGTTCTGTACTCACTCGCTGCTTGGCACGCTTGCAGCGCGTCTTTTTTCTGTTGCAACCCAGTGCCTGCGTGCACGGTAC